TCTTTGTCGATCGAGATCATTCAGTGTACGTATCAGACTGGAACAATCATCGTGTGATGAAATGGGTGGAAGGTGCGAAAGAAGGTATTGTGGTCGCTGGAGGACAAGGTGAAGGGAATGCTCTGACACAATTGTCTGATCCTCATGGAATCTTTGTTGATACGTTGGGTACACTCTATGTAGCAGACCAGGGGAATCATCGTGTAATGCGTTGGACTCAAGGAGACAAGAAACAAGGCACTATAGTTGTGGGTGGAAATGGTTCAGGAGAAGGAGCAAACCAGTTCCACTACCCCTTGGGTTTGTCGTTTGATCGACATGGTAATCTCTACGTCGTCGATGCAGGTAATAATCGTGTTCAACGATTTTCTATCGAATAAGATTTGTGAATTGTTTTTTCTTTGTTCGTTTCTTTTTCTATACTTTGAAATAAATGAACAAGAAAAAGAAATTTTCTTTTACTCCTTCGTTTCAAAGAAAAGAAAAAAGTTAAAATATAAGATTACGTCATATGTTTCTTTTCTTCTTCTTCTTTTATTTATTTATTTATTAAATGAAAAGAAATGAATTGATTGGAATGAAATTTTGTTTTTTTGCTTACCAGCAAGGGGGAACAAACTGATTTCAATCTCTGAAATCAAGTTGAAATCAAATGAAATCACATTTTGATTTTGGAAATCAGAAATCACGAAATCAGTTTGTTCCCCCTTGTTTACCAGTTAATAGTTGCTCGCGCGACCAAGAACTACCTTGTTGGTGCCATAGAGAGTCAAGGCTCTTCACGTACAGACATAGATCTAAGGTGTATAGAACATACAACAGAGAGATCTATAAGCGGCCTGTAGGTGCTATGGGCATCAAGATAGGCTTGGCCAGTGTCACGCCGATGTATGGGAAGCCTCCGTAGGACGTAAAAATATACAAAAGGATATGATATGTAAAGAAGCGAATAAACATCATTGCCGAGAGTTGTGGTAAGCTACTCCACCTCTATCCAGTTTGTCTTATTGTATCAACCCAAGCAGGATCCCATATATCGTTACAACACCCACGCCATAAGCACTTATCGACATGCATCTCGCTAGCTTTTGGTATTATGTATCTCTGTTAAAATCATAGGCACCATCGCATAAGTTGTAGTTTATGCAACTCATTCATGATCTCTACGATCATTCGAATAGTTACGGTGTCTGAACTACCTGATGCTACCATTAAGCAAAGTCGAAACGCGTCATAGCTGCTTAACACATCCAACTGAAAATTAATGCATTTGGAAAACCTTATATGGTTAGAGTCTCTCTCCTCTTCATCGTAAATTGATAATGAAAGTAGTAAGATGCGCATCGTTTGGTTTTTATCGCTAGGGAAGAAGCCAAAGCAAAATATGAGGAAAGCATACGCCAAGCGCGTGCTGTATATAAAAGTGCAGCTATTAATGAAAAACAACAAGCTGTCAAATAACAAAATAGACATACGTGGTTTATTCAGGTAGTCTATGTTGGATAAAAAGCAAAAATTACCAACAACTATAAATACTAAAGTCGCTTGAAGACCAGCTTGACACAACATGCATATTTCGATATCCCTTGGTAAGTACCCTTATTTAATTGTCGACATTTTTACACTAGAGATGTGTTGTATTTTTAAAGTACATCAGCATAGATGCTAATGACAGTAAAAATGGTGGAAGATAAACATGAATTTTTGTAGTTAATATGAAGAGATTGAAGAAAATCTCAAATAAGAAACCTCAATAGGTATAGAAAATCAAAATCTACATAGTGAGATTAATGTCATCCATTGAAAATGAAGATATTTGGAAGAACAATTTTAGTGTGTACACCGATCATTATATGGTTATAATATTTTCCTCGAATAAAAGACTACTAAAAATAATGTGTTACATTAATAAATACTATAGAAAAATTCCGTAGTATTGTTCTTTGGATATTGTGCTGTTCAAATGAGATCCTATCAGTAATACTTGTAACGAATAATCAGTCAGATCATAAAAGCGAAGAAAAAGCTATTGGAACGATCATAGGCGAACCTTTTAATTGAGCATGTTTCATTTCAATTTAGAACATCTACGGTAGAATGTCTAAAAGACAGTGCTCTACAGGGCGTGGGTGTGTGGATGTGAGTATGGTGGGTATGAGTGTTAGAAAAGGATACACCGACACCAGGCATTGGATACTTAGTACAATATTTGGTACTTGTTTGTAATAAGTACGTAAAATGGCAAGTACCAGTACATTTTCCGCACTGAAAGTATACGTACTTTTTACTTCAAAATTGTACTAAAGTACGTTGTGCCTAGGTACATTATACTCAGTACAAGTACAAGATACGATTTTGAAGTAAAAAGTATTTGTACTTCTACTTCATGCACTTGTACTGGTTCAATCACTGACTCACCACCTACACACCCCACATCCTAGTTCAACTTGTATTCTAAGGTTAAGCATGCCTCAGAAAAATTTCTACGACACCATAAGGCACTTTTTCGTCATTAACCTATTTAAAAATTCATATTTAACACTGTTAAGACTGTCAACCATTTAAAAGGTTAAACATGAAGGTAAAACAAGATGACTGCCTAATTAGAATGTCCTTTATGGTGGAATTGCGCTTCGCATATATAAGTAGGCATGATGGAAATTTCCATGAAAAATAACAGCAGATTCGATGTGTGTTAGGAGTTTGAAGGAAACTCTTTTCTTTGCCCTTTTTGTTCAAAAGAAAAGAACAATACATATAACGAACATTATAGACATAAGGGTCATAACAGCGATCATTGGCATTATGAACATAACGGACAGCAATAGAGTGATCCTGCTTGACTATGATACAAAGCCACGACTTGATCCTGATTACAGTGTTGAAAGCTGAACATACTTCTGTTGCATGCTGCACTGTGACGAGAACTGTCGAAGCGCGATACAGACTCTTTAAGAAAAACACGATTCGTTTTCCGCAAACATAATATGTCGTAAAGGAACATTTTCCAAAGCAATCATTATCTTCCTTCTGCGAACTAGGATTTCCATCAAATAACTCGAACGTTAAATCAAGGTGCAAATAATTCTAAGAACATTAAAATTTTCGAAACTGATGATTACTATCACTTCTAAAGTCATCTATAACAGAACTTACATTAGTGAACATACATATCGATATCCTCAACCTTTGTGTCACCTTCACTCTCATTGAGAGAGATGTTCTGTGTGTGTGTGTGCTTCGGCCTCACACCGTCATCGAGTTGGTTTGTGGAAGACAAACTGGCGAACCGCGGGATCAAATTCTTTTGATCCAGTCCCGACTATAGTTCTGGTTGACGTTTTTTAAGTAAAATTTAGACTCCACATTGATGAATTGATTGTTTATTGTATATACTTTTTTCGCATGATTGAAGTTTCTAGTCTTTTTTTCTTGATATCCTCACCGTATTCTAATATTTTCAAATGAAAATGGTTCGATTGTTAGTTAAAGTGTATGGAAAAGGCTATTCAGCGCCGCACCTGTGGGGCTAACATGTGAAACTCACGTATATCCTTGAAGCCTGAATAAACCAATAAAAATATGCAAAATGAAAAATTTCTCAGACTACTGATTTTTCAAAGAAATTGATCATCAGAGTAAAATCTCTCTCATTTATTTTTATATTTTCAAAAGATTATTTTACATTTTTTGGCGCCATTTTTTTCTTCATTTTATTTTTATTTTTTATGTTTTTTTCTAATTAATAATAAGTTTTTAATGGCTATAATGGAGACTTGTCGTTAATGGAGGGGGAGCGGGGGGAGACGGCGCAAAATTCTCCCGCTTAAACTTACACTCACTATTATCTTCAAAAATATACGCGAGTTCCCAAAAATTCCTAAATGTCAGGTAGATATTTTATGTAGAAATTTTTGGGACACTTACTAAAAAACTCTTCCTAGATGCTGGTCCCGCTTAAAACCATGTTTGGTACTGTCGAGACCAAGACTGTTTTGCAGTTCCTTATTATATAATAAAGCTTGACAGAATCTCAAAAGATTCATTTGACACCATTTTTTTTTCAACGCATGGGTAGTGTTACTTCCATTCAGCAAAACTGTGAAGAACAAGCCCAAGACCCAAAGGCAGCTCCACTCACTCTCGCGCTAGCTCGGGTACGACAGCTCTATAATGCTGCCGCTATGAATTTCGGTGCGGTTGATCTCTGTTCTATTACACGCTTATTGCGTTGTTCGCTTTCTGAAACATATAAAGTAGATCGGCAGACGTTGGTAGTCTTAGGTGGTGCAATCATATATCTTGCAATGCCATGCGATGCTATTCCTGGCTTCATTCCAATCTTAGGATATCTAGATGATGGCTATGTGTTGCGTCAGGCCATAAATATGTGCTTGTCGGAAATACGAAATTTTCAGCAGTGGGAACAAGCACAACAACAACAATAAGGGATAGTTTCCAACAATCGAGCACTGTGTCTCAACATTTGCGATTATAAAATCGAAATTGAACATCTGCTTCAATCAATTTCAATGATTATTTTTTAATTTAAATTATTTAAATAAAAAACAATCCAAAGTTTGAGATTGATATTTTTTTAGCTCGTCAAAGTTTTACTCATACCAATTTTAAGAGAACACATTCGTAGTGTAAATTATTTCAAAACTAATCCTGGTTAGCACTATAATTAAGCGTGTTGCAGTGGGTGGGTATGGCAATCGGGGTTCTTCCGTGTGAACGGGGCTGGAGAAAAGGGCTGAACGCACAAGCACATCCCAACTGGCACTCACACCCAACCTCAAGATAGTTAGCGTTCTTAAAGCGATTGAACCAATGTTGTGCCGTATGAATGGAGAGTACATCCTCGCCCATCGTGCTGCATATATTGTTGGCTGCTTCCTTTGCTTTGTGACCCAGACAGAATTCATAAAGTAAAAGAACTCGAATTTCCTTACGAGAACGGTTCATTTTCAGTTCAAGATCAACATTCATAGCAATAGCTTTACTATCATTCGAAATACATTCACATTCCCTTTATATACCCTTAATATTGAAACTTCTAGAACTTTCTCGGATGTTTTAGACAGTTTAAAAAAAATGCAAGAACTTTGCTGACAACATAATATACGTATTTTATTCGCATAAATATAACTTTGTTTACTTAAAAGCAGAATTTCGATATAAATGCATCCTAATAGCATCATAAATCTAACTGAAACTCTTTCAAGACGATTGCTAAAATTTAAATCATGATTTTAATTAATATTATGAGATAATTCATGACAAGTAATGATAAAATAAAAATTAATTATTCGGCAAATAGTTACATTTGATGATGAAACATTAGGATGAGTCGATTTTAGTTCATCAATAAAGAATACTTGTTCAAATAACGAATATTATAGAATAATGATCTATTACTATTAAGAACAATACGACCTAAAACAAAAGACAATAAATTATATAATTTAATCAAATAGAATTTGTTTACCACTATGAATATCACGAAACAGATACAATGTTTCTACTGAAATATGAAATACTTGTTTGACAAGAGAAGATAATAAAAAAGCAAGTTGCTGTTCTTGATTAATCGTTATATTTGTTAAATTAACATTTATATCTACATAAAGTAGAATTCCATGAAGAATAGTTGAAGCTGGGATAAATTCGGATGAATTATTTATTTTATTTAGTGTTGATTCTTTTTGATTAAATTCTTCTGGAGAATATGATTTACTTTTTTCAATCATTTTATTAAAATAATGAGACGTTTCGTTATGAACTCATAGCATCATCAGTGAGAAAATGACACGAAATGGCTGAACAAGATAAGAAAGAATAAATATATAAACAATAGAAAGAGAGAAAAAACAAAGACACACATTAAAAGAAAACCTTTAGTTTTTATCACCTTCCAATATAATGTGTCTTGTTTTCGATCAGAATGCATTTAGAATAAAGCTTTTTTGTGAGTACACCTGTTTGTTCTTCTCTTTAACTATACCAATACATGATGGTGTGGGGTTGATCTTCGTATGATCCATCCACACCCACATCCTCGGATATGATCCACTGCTTATAAGAGAGTAGCTAGTAGATATTCAAACCAACATTCCGGCTGTATATCAGTTGATTGAATTAGTGCGAGAACTGTGTCCGCCGGTAAATTCATAATAATACCATTTGGATCAGTGAAAAGGTTGCTTAAATAGTGCATATTCGTCTTGAATATTTTTGGTGAGGATTGCTTGAATTTGCTTTCCCATTCGTTCATCAACTGCAGTAGACTGGATTTCTGTTCATCTGTCCATGAATCAATAGCAAACAGATATTCATAGACAATGGCAAAATAGTCGACCGCTTGGTCGGATGCGACACTGTTTGCTATAAATTCGTGCTCGATCGCTTCACTGTATCGGATGTCAAAAAAACGACGAAAAAAATCAAATTGTATGTTTCCGTTCGTTTACGAAAATTGAAAAATTACTCACGCCCGTGAATTTTGTTCGCGTTCATAGTCTGTCCAATTGGTGGCTTCTCGCTCCCTTGGTGATAAAAATTCATTCTCTACTCTTTTATAGAACGTATAAAAAGTAAGATTTTATTTTGCAGAATACTACTCACGGTATCATTTGATTTTGATTTTCGATCGACACTGCCTAGAAATCAACGATAGATATTATATCCATCCATACAATGAAATATCGTTCACATATCAGAGTTCTGACAAGATTAAAAAATGAGTTAAGCTTAGAGGTTGCATTGATTTATTGGATAGTTGAGTCAATAAAATGCTGTTTAATTTAACGATTCTGAAACTTCGAAACAGCATTATCAGACTTTTTAAAATCTAATGATTTTGCTAAATTTGCACCTTTTTTAACTAGTGATGACCCTAAAGCGCACTTCGTCAAACAAAGAACATTAAAAACCGACTAATTTTGGTGATGCAGCGACCGCACACCGATTGATTGATGAAAAATCACATCAATTCAATGTGTCCACGGTAGGATGAAAGTATCCACTGCTAATTATAGTACATCATTCTGAAGAAATTACAGCTGAATAAGTTTTTTTTTTATAAAAAGACCTCGTTCAACAAGTATTGATAATGAGTATCAGGAAAAGGTCCTCGCTTTTAGTTGCACTACCCAGTGCAGATGTTCCTTTCTTTAGCTTGTTTTCAATTATTTGAGCAGATTCGGTCGCTTTCGATCGTAATTAGTCGAAAATGTATGTATTAGAAAAGATTTTGAAATGTCTGACAACTCTCTATCGAACTCAAACGGGATTACTCGTTTCGTAGTGCAATTACAATTTACACAGAAATTACTTTCAATCACGCTACATATTTTTTTGCTTCGATTTCTTGCTCTTCTTTTTGTGTCTGTTTCAATTTATAAAGACGACTTTTTTTCTAGTTGACATGCTGATGTATATATATATATATATTTCTATATACGTATCATGAACATTAATATCGATACACTCACTTGTGATGCAAATGATTTACTCGCATATTGTTCGGATTGTTGTTTTCGAGCAGCATCTATAGACAATCGTCCACCTTTTGTTAACCACGAAAAACAGAACAAATCCTATTCAGTTTTAATTTATTACAAATAAAGTAATCTACCCAGTGAGTGAACTTCATTCAAATTACTTCGGCTTGGTAGTTCTCCATCTTTGTGTTTCGGTAGTATTTCCTTACGTTTCGTTGGCGATGGAGTAATAATATGATAACCATCACTAAACATGAAAATATGTGATGCATATATCGAAACTAAAACACTGATTTTTTCCTGATCCTACATAAGATCTACACTCTTGCGTAATCTTACAACGCTGAGACCTATTGAATATCATTTCACTCTTTCTCTTTTCTTTGATCTGCTAGACCATTGTCTCGACCAGGGTAGATCTCTATAAATGAAGACCAGCTTAAATTTTAAATAGAATTCACCATGATATCCTTTTGTAAAAATTGACTAAACAGCTTTTGAAAATTGGATGGTCAAAATCGCCTGAATGAGAAATAGAACTAGGAGAGTTCCATATCAATTCCGATCTCAGAAGCTGGTCAACCATTTCTACTTTGTGGGAACTGATCCACTTATAATTAATTCATTAATTAGTAATCAAAAAGTGTCATAGTTCTAGAGAAAAATCTTCTTAAATCTCAAGATTTTTTTTGGAACCAAGCGAAATCTGAGTTTAAGTTGATATCGGCTTTCCTGGATCGCAGTCAAGCTAGTCGATCTCATCGAACTCCATCGATCCAACACACTTAGAACTATCATTTGCATTTTGAATGCAATTATGCTTATCGATCTTTATGCATCAAGTGCATACACATATGTAGTGCTGCGATTCTCGTTGAAGGTAATCGTCAAACTATCGACCATCATCAACCAGTCAGGAAATTGTCGAGGATTCTGCGCATTGATATACCAGACATGATCGACGCCACGAAGACCACATTCACGAATTTGATTCTGGACTTGCTGCTTAAATGTATCTCTTTCGTTGACTGCAACCAAATCAAACTTATTCACTACAATATCATATCGTAAATTAATGGCATCGAGCAAGCGAAAGACTTTGGCCATTTCTTTGACGGTGGTCGTAATTAATATGAGTCGATTGGTTAATGCCTTCCAAAATGCCACATATTCCATGCTGAAGTAGGAAATATCGTCGTTACGTCCCGGGATATCATACAACCGATAACCCGATCCATCATAAGATGTAATCTGTCTGGTCGTTTCGCCTGCGCCTGTCTTTGCTAAGTCTGATCCGAGAAGTTTATTAATCATTGTGCTCTTGCCGGTTGATGTCAAACCGAAAAAACCAAAGCTGCGACCACCATCTAGCTGAAGTGGAACTGTTTGCGATGCTAGACGAATTAGTTCCTCGGCTCCCTTTTGGTCATGTCGTTGCAAATTGTTGAAAGAGTGGATTTCTCGGGCAGCTATATCCTGCCGGAATTTCTCATATTCGTGTAGTAAATAAGCGTTTTGTTGTTGAACTTGTTGCAATTGTTGCACAAGTGCTGGATCTTGCACATATTCGTACGCTACGTCATGTGAGTGACCTAACCACAAAAGCACACGCATGATAACAAGAGTCTGTAGGAAATACTCACCTCCACCCATATTACGAACAAGAAGAGTGGTAAAGGTAAGAGCAGCGGACAATTAACTACTGGACTTCAAAAAACAAATAGAGAGCACAGGCAAACATAGGTATCTTTAAATATTATTGTTCTTATCGGCTTTATTTTTTGTTGATTCATCACTCGTGACAGTGCGCGTACACGTGTGTGACTTTGTGGAAAATACCAGTTTGACGAATGAGAAGTCAAAGAGCAACAAAACAGATAAGAACAATAATATTTAAAGATACCTATGTTTGCATGTGCTCTATACTTGCTTTTTGAAGTGCAGCAGTTAATTCTCCGCTGCTCTTACTTTTACCGATCTCATTGTTCGCAATATGGGCAAAAGTGAGTATTACCTAATGTGTGACACAAAATTTCGTGGGAAAATGTTGCTTCAGCATTTGTCAGCTACAACATGATGCGTAAAAATAAAAAATATCTATTCAGAATCTACGTTAAAAGTGCTTTCAAAGTAGATTTGGAATAGGTATTGCTTATATTTCTACAAAACATGTTATGTTGCAGTCAGTGGAAAATGAGCGATATTTTTCTAGGAATTTTTTTTCTATATAAACTCTTGTTATTATGCGTGGGCTTTTGCTGTTAGGTCACTCACATGAAGTAATACGTGAATATTTACAAGATCCTGCAACTATAAAACTATTGCAAGAATTTCAACAGCAAAATGCTCATCTACTGCAGCAATTTGAAAAGCTCCGACAGGAGATCGAAGATCAGAAAATAGAATCATTCGAAGACTTGCAACAATACGATCAAAAGGGAGCCGACGCTCTGGTGAAATTGGCTACTCAGACGACTCCACTCCAAATGCAAGGGCGTAATATTGGTTTCTTTGGTCTGACATCGACGGGTAAGAGCACAATAATCAACAAATTGCTTGATCGTGAGGTGGCCAAGACGGGAGCAGGTGAAACAACGACTAAGATCGAGCCCTATGATGGAAAGGGATACACACTATATGACATTCCTGGTCGTAATGATGACACGACGTATTTTAGTATGGAATATGTGGCTTTTTGGAAAGGATTGACAGCTCGTGTCGTGCTTTTAACAACCTCTATGAAGGAGATGACCAAAGTCTTTCATCTTCTCGACGCGATTAACCTTAAGTACGACATTGTGGTCAACAAGTTTGATTTGATCAAGCAGGACGAACGAGAAAATTTTAAAGCCCAGATCAAGCAAGAAATCAACCAGTGCGGTCTGAAGGGTGTTAACAATGTTTGGTTTGTGAGCTCCCAGAATCCACGACAGTTCCCTGATTGGATAACCATGGTAGACTATTTGACATCACAGTAGCTTCTTTTTTTATGAATAAACTAGAGACAAAAATTTTGAATATGAACAAAAGACGATGTGAAAAATACATGTCTCGAAATCTTTTATAGTGTCACCAGACTATTAAGAGAATCTCATCTATAATGAACCATACCACGTATCCGAGAAATCGGGGATACTGAGAAGCTCCGGGAGAAGTTGAAGATGCCACCTAACACATCAGGCCTCACTTCTTGGGGAGATACGGCACCTCCCAAAGAGATTCGACATCTCCGGATACTATACTTTTAGGGAGATGCCGTATATCTCTAGGTACTTCCGACAGAGAAAAGCAACATATGTAGAGTGTATGGTTGTGAGGAAGGGAGACCGCACTCGTTTTCATACATGCATAGCACCTCAAGTGTGGGTGTGAGGTAGGGGGAGCCACACCCAACTACACGCATCTGTTGTCGGCAAATTTAAGGGTTAAGCAAAATTAAGCACAATCATTTGAAATTTTATGATTTCATGCAGTTGAAGTAACGATAAAGGGTGTGTATGTGGGTGTGTTAAACACTCAAAATATAGAGATTCAAAGCAGAATACGACGCGTTTCGAACCTTGCTTAAGGGTGCAATCATCAGGTATCTTTAGAATCTTTTACTACATGAGAAAATTTAGAACTATATATTGAGTTGAAAATATTCCTTAATATTTAACAATAATTTCAAATTAATTCAATGAAGGAGCTGAAAAAGACGACAACCAAGTTGAATAAAATAGAAAATTAAAGTTAAAATGAGTAAATCCTGCATAGTTAAAATTTCGTCAAGCTAACTATGATCCAGATTTCGTTGTTTAGATCAACGTGCTTAATTAATAAATAATTTTTATTTGAATTAATTGATTGATGATATTCAAAGTCAATTTACCTTTGCAATCACGATTTTGACAACGAAAAATCAATTTTGTCGTTGTGGTACGCTCTACAGTGTAGATGTAACTTTCATGAAGGAGCAGTGGTTTTCCTTTTTCAGAAAGGAGCTTTTCCATTTGAGACATCTTTTTGAAATGTTGTATGGAGTAAATGTTGAGATGGAGAAATGAAATATACTTGCAACATCATCACTGTATATATATTTTTATTCCTATCGCATAATTAAGAACATTGACTCAACGTTATCGTTGATCTAGATTACGTGGAATTCATTAATTGCCTGACAAATCTAATTATTCTTCATTCACTTTTGCTCTATTATGGCTAGATCTGATTAACATTTTCTATTGATCCGTTTTCCCAATTAAACTCAGTAACTTTCGTACAATCTTTTATTTTATACATCTTTCACTTTTTTCTATTTATTTTATTTCATTTGGTTATACAAACAAAAAATTAATTAAGAGAGATACGACAAATTCATCGTCACAATTTTTTTCACAATGAACAGAACGCAAGAAAATTTTCTCCGACGATCAGAACGCGACAAATTGTCGTGCCACGAATTGTACTAGTGCCATTCGTTTTTGGATTGTTATCCAGATTTAGAATTAGAAGCAAGGCAATTTGTTTTTGAAGAATGTTCTAAAACAGACACAACATTTACAGCCGAAACTTTGGCAATATTCATTGATAATCGTTTTTATGAATTAAATAATCTGAAGAAAGTCGATCAACGATTAGCCAGATCAGTCGAAAGTTGTAAATTAGATTTACGTCGATTTGGTGCAAAATTTACAGCAAATTCAAGTCGGCCATATTTTCTTGGACATGAACGAGAAGATGTGGTGAAACATCGAAAAGAATTTGTCAAATACTTCATTGAACGAGAACAGCATTTTTATACGATTACGAATGATGCAGTGCCACAGTGGAAAACACCAACAACAACACCAGCAGTTTTGCTTTGTAAGCGCTTTTTTCCTTTCTTCATCCCAAAACTCGCCAATATGTTCATCTTTGCATTCCTCTGTTGTAGGTCATGATGAAAGTACATACAAATGTGGAGAAATTGTAGCCAAAAGATGGATTATGTCTGATAATGCACCTTTTTGCAACAAAGACAGAGGAAGAAGTATAACGTGTTCGGATCTATTAGTCATGCATCCAAGCGGACCATTCTTTTCATTGATCGATAAAGAATATTCAGAAGCATTGAAAAAATATCCACACTTAAATGATGATTGTGGTTTTAATTATGTAAAGAATAGTATTTCTGCTGTAATCAATGTCGGTGGTGATAATTATTTGGCAATCAAGATATTCTTAGTCAATTTAAGCGTCTATTTCAATTATTGCCATTTAAAAATGAATATAAAAATCATAATTTCGTATGCCTCCTCGACAATGCCAGAACACATACAGCAGCTCACATGCATATTAATGATTTTGGAATGACACCAGGGACCCGGTGTCCTGTTGATAAGATCGATTATATTGATGAAAATAATAAAAAACAAACTATTGAATGTTATGATGATGATGACGAATATAATAAAGGTTTACTGGCTTTGGCATATGAATTAAATGTTTTTGTTTTAAAAAAATATGCAAACTCAATGAATTGAAATTATTGTTGTCTCAACATACAGCTTTTTAAAGTGTGAGTAGAGATTGATTTTTCTGTTCATCGTGGCAAATGTTCCATGACTCTTGTTTACTCTTTTTCAATTATAGGTCAGTAAAACTTGAAAAATTAGCTGTGGAATATTATGTCAAAATACTTTTTTCGTCGAAGTACCATTGCAGAACTAATCCAATTGAAGGATATTGGTGTCACTCAAAGCAATATATACGAAAAAATACAGATCAAAATTTTCAAAAATTATTAACTTTGATGCCTGAAGCAAAAACAAATTTTATTGATAAGCATGTTCACTTGAAGCTTTTTCGTCGATTTTGGAGAACGATCAAAGCATACAATCAAGGAAAAAATTATCTTGAAGTACTGACAATGTTTTTTAGTGGATTGTGCAATGATAAAATCATCAGTCACCGTAAAATCACAAACAGGAACATTGGCAATTAATACGTATAATTATCACGGTATGTTTAATTTATTCAATTAGTAAAATATTCGAATATTCTATTTTTTAGGTTCTTATTCTTGTTCAGCTATTTTTTGATTTGGCATCTCAATAAAAGAACATAAAAAACTGAGAAATAGCATATAGATCTCAATGTAAATGGAATTTTGCTGCATGAGGCTTTTACAAACTATCTTACGTTAGTTCTGCATAGAGTTCACTGAAACCACCTCCATTGAATTCTGCATCGTTGTTTTATCTATTCCATCTTACCTCTACGAGTTCTGTATGGAAATTTATTTTCTATAGAAAAATCACTAGACTGTTTTTTGCCATGCTGTCATTGTAGACGCCTTTTCTCAGCATGGGAAATGATATTGAAAAACCCGAGTTATACTTTTGTAGCCCATCGAATGACGCTTATGATGATAGGTGAATGGAGGCTCTATCTGCCTGCAAAAAAACTAGATAGTTTTTCAAAATTCACAAGTACAAAACTGACTGACCCTAAATGCTCGTTGGCCAGGTTAAACATGTAATATCCGATAAAGCTTTAGATGTTGCTGCTAAACTCATTTTTCTATGAGGAATTCGAAAATCATATTGGTGAGAAAGGAAAGTGGAACGGGAAAGAAATAAACGTTGTTTGTTGAAAAGCAATTCTTTTGCTGATTTTTAGACCCTCTTAGTATCTTGCGTTTTTCTCCACGAATGTGTTGTCAAATAAAAAAAACTAAGTAGATATTCGTGATCAACATGAAAAGGAGAATCTACTGATGTATGTTTAAGCAGAAACAAAGAAGTGCTGTAATTTTGAATTACCCGGACCTTACATTAGCTTCGAAAACATTTCGCAGCGAATATTTAACCCTGGTTAAGAGTTATACTACAATTGGAAAACAACGTCTTCAAGCTATGTTCTAACATCAATTCAGAACCATTGCGCGGTGGATTTCATCGTACTTATGAATGACTCCTTTAAGTTTGATTTTCTTTATTGTGAAGATGCCATATAAAACGAATATATGAAAATATCTATGAATGTAGGCGCATAGAAAGTATGTTTTTGTCTTTGAATTTATCTAAATAAACTTACGCTTATAATTAGTATGTTTCGTTGAATGAACATTGAAATATTTTGAATGTATTCTCATTGTTGATCAAGAAATCCTAAGAAAATGCGTATAAACATCGACTAAAGTTGGTTTAAAAAGATCTGCGAAACTTCCTGTAGCTTCTAAAATAATTCATATTCAAGAAAAAATCACGGAAAAATATGTATCAATATTTCTATCTTTCGTCTAAGATATCTTGCCAGAAAAATATTTTCAAACTTGTATGGACACCATCAACTCTGGTTTAGTTCTTGATTTTATTTTATTCGAAAAACATTTTACATTGAAGTTTAAAGAATTATTAAATTTAAAAGCTTTAGTTAGTCTTCTAGTGCAACATCATGTAATGATTGTAGGATAACATATGAAAAACGATCTTCTCATTCGAAATTGTGCAACATTAAGTAAAGCTGCTGCATACCTTATACCAACCCATGATGTTTATAAGTTTTTCGAAGCTGTTGTGGTATGTCACACCTGTAGCTTTTGTAGAACTATTCAGGGTTATTTCCTGATTTTACTCGTCAAAACAATTCCCTGTCATGCTCAAAAACGTGTGTTGGTCATACGAAATTCTATGTCCATGATTATTAACTTTCTTTTTCCTGACTTCATGCTGTTTGCGTCGCATCTCAACTGTTTAGTTTTTCTTGATTGGTGTTACATGCATTTCAATGTATGCTTTCAGTGACATAAATGAATGTAAGGTGTTAAACCATTTGGGCAATACTTGTAGCGTTTGAGAAATATCTTGAAAGATTATAATGGTGACATATACACAAGATTCCTTCGGATACAGTACTTCTGCTTTATCAAAACCTAACGCTAGTTTGTAATCATATATGATTTCAAAGAAAAGAAACCTAATAAAAACCAGCATAAAGTCGTCGAATAGAATGACTAGCGATCACCAGTAACAGTGACATCTACGCGTAGCCATATATATTAGTATCATGAGCGATTTAAAGTACATAAAAAATACAGTATCACGGGATGAAATTTCTACTACTGGTGACACAAGAAAAAGACACCAAATTAGATTTCACCCAGAAAAAGGTTCCTACATGGTTGCCTGTGGTTGCGAAATGGCTTCTACTATGTCGTTAGATGGTATTAAATGAATAAGAAGTTTGAGAAAAACTGATCGAATCAAGAAAAAATTCGCCAGAAACTAGATTCAAAGAGTGCTAAATAAAACAAACTAGATTAAAGAACAATATCAAAGTCAAGAGAATTATGTAGCATTCTTTCAACAACAAAATATACACGTGAACCCTAATGTGACTATATGACTTTCACATGAAGGCTCTCATAAAATATTCAATAGTCTATGACGAGTATAGGAAATTATGAGTTGGCCTATTTTCCATGGCCTATGTGATTTAATGAAAAGGGATATTTTATTTTTTTAAATTTTTTACTCATACATGATTCGTGAACATCCTATTTCAGTCCACCTGTAGAAATACTGACCATGGGAGAATGGTACAAACCTAACACTCCTTTCAGTACACAACCGAGTGGATTCGCGAAAAACAACGATGTAACAAACCCTAACCTGGAAGATATGTTTACGATTGAGACGGTAATTCTATCGAAACCACAGTTTTTCGCTTATCGATCGTATTTTTTTCTTGATAGAAAGCAATTGCTCGTTTAGAGAAGAATCAAGAACAAAAAAATTGTAATAGCAGTAATCAAATAAATGTGAGTATTTTATTGACGATACTCTGAAGTTCTACATACCTATACTCTTACATTATATAGGATATTAGCTGGCTTAACCCAAGTCCATCTTCAACAAACGAGTGTAATAATAACAGAGCCAATCAAAATCCAACAGTATCTTCATCTGGTATATTACTAAATAGAACTACTGTAAGCTGTTCTATCATATTGCGATACGTATATGTGGCAGTAGAGTTTAGAATCTAGTTGAGATTGAAATGGTCGATTATTCTATAAATGTTGTGAGAAAGTGATTCATAGAAATAACATTTTGTTAGTGAGTAAGATGAGATAATTTGATTCAGCATATGTAGACTAAAAAAAACGCTTTTGTTCCCAAGATTAATTGTGTCTATTTTTCCTGATTGAAGAGAGAAAAATAACAAAGATTCTGAATAGATGTTTATGTTTTAATGCTAGAGACATTGGGACATAGGGACATTGATTTTTTTGTTTCTATGCTCGAAGAAAAGAAAGAGATTTTCGCTATCGTTATTTCGAAGCACGGGTCCCGAGCAGCTGTGATGGGAAAGGAACGAGTTTTTAATTCGAATGATATGGAAGGAAAGTAAATGTTTTTTTAATTTTTCATGAAATTAATAGAGAAGTTTCTTATATGAGTAGTCCATTTGATGTGTTATTATCTACAATCGTTCTTCATTAAAAAAAATGAATAAGTTAATATAGAAGAAACTTCATAATTTATGGCTGATCATTGTCTGTTTCATAGTGACGAAGATCGATTATTAAAACTCAAATTAATAAAGAAACGATAATAAAAAAATTAGAATTTAATAGATTCTACTAAATTTTTTAGAATATAAAACTAGGATAAATAAATATTTATATGATGATGTAACATAAATATCATAATCAACGAAGTATTTTATTTCCTTTTAATATTAAAGTATCAGCTGAACAAGATACACTAATAACTATATGACGCATACAAGTGATACGAGAGCGCATTGAGATAAATGAAAAATAAGAAATAAATTTTTTTTGTTTTGGTCACTAATTTGAAAAAGAAATTAAAATTATGATTACTTAGAAAATACTTTGCTAAATTTAGCTCGCAGACAAAGTTTCCGCATCGTTCATATAACTTTATTTGCATTTTGATTTTCGAAAAACGTTTTTCTTTTCTTTTCTTCGCTCTCTTTTTTGATTATTTTCTATCTTTAATTAAATCTATTATTTCAATCTCACCTAAATTTTCATGTCAACTGTAACATATATATGATAATCAGAGAAAAAGTCCTCTCCTCAAGTCTAGAAACTGAGTTGATGAGTTATATGCAAACCTATAAGATGCAAATTTTGAGCAAAGTTAGAAAGGTAAGTAGTACCAGATAGATTCTCCAATAATAATACTAAATTACTTTTTTAGAATTGAGTGAGCATTACTTTTGAAAAATAATGAAAAGAAACTAGCAATGAAGCGATGAGTAACAGAAAGATCAATCTGAATAACTCATAATCAATCAATAGTAATAACAAGAGAAAACAATTAAATAGGGAAAACGAAAGTGTTAACCACGATTTAGATTTGTGCTTTCTTGCATAAAATATAATGATAATGTTACAGCTGTTTCATGTTTTGTAGCATAGATAGTCGGAAAATTTTGGAATTATTTATATAATCCTGAAAGTATATCTGCAGTTGAGACTATACATTATTGAAATCATATAGTAATGCACAATTTGTAACTTTAAGTTATAGCGTATGTAAGAAACTTTTGTACACGTGAAACAAAAATTTTATCGTGCTTTTTGTTTCAACACTTATTTTTCTATAAAAAATCGTCCATAGAACAACTTCATGTAAACATATTTTACGTACTTTTTCTAGGAGCATGAAAATTAGTAATAAAAATAGATGTTCTGAAGATAATTAAACATTACTTTTTTTTACTAATAGGAATCTATTAAACCTCTGATATCATTTAAATAACGAAAACAAAGCTAATAATGACGGGAATGCATAATATACGTGTATATTATCACGTAGGAATCAAGTAGTACCAATGAAATGTGATGCTAATACAGCATTTCTACTCACCTACATCTGCTGATCATATTGCAGCGCTGAAATTACATTTGATACTACTAAATGTAAATTCTGGCATAGTCATTGATACATTCAGTATCAATTTTTCAGGGAGAACAAGAAAAAAGAGATCATTTAGCTAATACTAACTCTTAAATAATTAGTTAAATCCTAATACAATCACGACACTAAGACTAAACAGTATCTTCCTTCTTCAATGAAGTATTTTTATCAAGAGGTTTTTGTAACAAAAGCAAAAGAAATAGACAGAAGCAAATCGGTTATTTTTTTCAAAAATTAATTCAACACCATGGTTCAATATATGACACATATCACGAAATAGATGATGCAAACTATTTGCTAAAGCATAGATAAGCGAACATATTCGTAATAGTACGATAAGTACAGATCTAGCTCATCTATCTTAGCTTCATCTCTCAGCATACGATCATTATTCAACTCTTGTTTGTAGGATGACGTATTTAGGCGCAATCAACAGACAGCTACATCAATGGTGAGTTCACTAATGCTGACTTGATTAATTTTAGATTATTTACACATAGGGCACCAATAGCACAATACAAACAAGCACTATTTTCACGCCGACCACCCTTACAGTAGGCTTGGGAAATAAAGAAAAAAAAATTTTTAACACAGAGTGCGTTAAATTTATTATGATATTTAAACGATCGACTATATTGTCGAATTTCAACTTTAGAAGCTTCAGACGTCCTACAACAGCAGTCTCTCGATCACCGACGCAGTATTATAAAGTTCTACGGGAGAAAGACTGTACCATTTTTTTGAAACAAGATACGTTTTGTGAAAAACTCAAAGACGCTTTAGTAGCAGACTTTTTGGTACAAACTCAAATATTAAATGGCGCAGATAATCGATCTGAAGAGAATGTGGCCTATACAATTGTGCTTTCAGGGTCTCAGTTACCAAAAGTCACACAGGCATATGATGCACTTGATCTATTGCTGACGACGTCCTTGAAAATAAAATTCGTCGATAAAAATATAGGTACTATCGAAATTGAAGTATTCATTTTTGTAACGCTTCTCATTATCTACATGGCAGGCTTTTGGGTATGTAAACCAGAAGCAGCTCACATTATTCAAACATACGCTAATCAAGCAAATATTACTTGTTATTGTGATGCATCTGAATATGTCGGACTCAAAATTTATTATTTCAGCTCAACTATGGTTTCTCTGAAGTCTCTGTGTACCACAGAAGTAATCATCGATGACATTATCACTCGCAAATTTTTATCAACAAAGATTCAAATCCCAAAAAGTTTAGATGCTATATCAGCAAACGAATATGTTAGTGAACTTGAAACCTTTTCTGTACAATCATGTGATAAAAATATTGCACGTATACTATTGATCAAGCAGGAAGATCATTTGTTAATATTCGGCTTGGTTGATTCAGTTGAGCAGTTGATTGCTGAAAATGAGAAAATCAAACAAGATTTAAGTATCGCTCCAGCAAAACATGATTTAACGGATTATCAAGTATGTCTTAATAATGAAATAGATTGTTTCGAATAAGTTGTATGATTGAATATGACTAATTAATATTTATAAAGAATTTCATGGGCAAATTAAGCAGACATTTTATGAGCTGTGTTTCATTTTTTGTATGCTAATTCAGATTCTAATCATCTCGATAGGAAGAAAGACATAGAGACCAAAATATAATCTCATCGTGCTTGGTCAATCAGTGATCGGAACATTCTCTAATGTCATAATATATCTCATGCATTATATGATGCACTTTGAATTCAAACACCATGGTATTATCTTATAGTTGAAAGCTATCCATAAAATATGAAATAAATTCTATTTATTTTTATCGAATATATAATATGCAAAAGAACCACGATACTTCTTACATCATCTAATCTACTTCAAACTGTTGAAAGACAAAAGTTGACTTTGAACGTACGATAAGGAACATTTTTCTTTGTTCCACTAAAGTTCTACAGTCATCAAGTGTAGTTTTCTTCGGTACAGTAAGCCAAAACAATGTTCTAGGAAAAGAGAATAAAGAAAATTTTAGTTTCATATAGAAGACAATTATATTCTAATTATTTTCATTGAAAATGTTTTCCATAGAGTACATTTCAGATTGTTCAGTTCCGCATCAATTCAGCGAGTTCGTGTTCTCTAAGATGAAAAAAAATGCATTGAGGTCACTCAAAATATGATTCTCTTGGAGTATGTCGTGAATACTACGCTAGTATTTTACCGGTATTATTTTAGATCGATTTTTTGCTCGGTCTTTATCAAAACGAACTGAAACAATTAGGAGTACAGAATGAAGATTTACAAATCTTCGACGGTATCAAAAATGGATATTTCACGGGTCCGAGAAAGATGCATGACATAATTAAAGAGGAACTTCATAGAATGGCTGGAAATAGTCGACAAAGCCAATTCAGCATTGAAGACGTACGTTTTGGTTCTATAGCTGAAACTGAACAAAAAGAATTCATGAAAATAAGTTTAAATCACAACTGTCTACTAAAAATAAAGCTAGAGTCCATTGATAAAAATTATCCAGTCCCTATTTCATGTTTGGACAAAGGTACTGCTGAATTGATACCAGCTGCTATGTCAATTGATATTCGAGTTGGTGATCTTGCGCTACAATCTGTCGACATGGTTGTTGTATGTTCAACATCACAATATCTTCTCAATGATATCCTTAAGAAGGCTGGAACTAACGTAAAGGAGAATGTTGATGCAGCAATGAACAGCGGTAGAATTACGAAAGCTGGTTATGAGACGATAGGCGGAGATTTACTTTGCAAACAACTCTTTTTTCTTCCTTGGATAACAGATAAAGTGGATGATATAACTTTGCGTCAAACAATACAAACATTTTTTACAACTGCCATGCAACATGCACTAAATACTGGAAAAACTTCAATTGCATTTCCTGCTCTTGGCTGTGGTGCTTTGAAGTGTGATCCAAATATGATTGCTGAAATAATACTTGACGAAACTCAGAGATATGCAAATTATAATCTAAAAATCTTGATCGTTCTTCTTCCGGATAAGAATGAAAATTATCGGGCATTTTGTGTTAAACTCGCTGAACTACGTCAGAAAACATTAAAAACAAACCCAACAAAACTCTCTTATCGATATACAAGTAAGCGCTTTGTAGTAAATATTTTGTATTCAACACTGTAAATCATTTTTATTTTTTATTCAGCGGTCAAATTGACACTAACAGGACTAGAAGAAAATTTGAAAAAATGCTGGAAAGTTATACAAGACTACATCAACGAGCGTGTTCTCACTGAAGAATGTGATGACTTTCCATTACATACTTGGAATCAATCGTTGATTGATTCTTTCTATAGATATTGTCTTGAACGACACGTGTTACCCGAAGTCAATACGATTGGTGATAGATTCAAACTTTCAGGACCCAAAGAACAAGTCAAAATGACACAAATAGAATTTTACCGATTGAAATGCATCAAGGCTGAAGAAGCACGTATAGCATCTTATGCTCGTATCGCTGTTTGGCTGTTTGAGATTGAAGATAGAGTTTTTAAAAAATACTCACTTAAATTGAATGCACTAATTGAAACCGCATCTGCCAACGGCAATGAATTGGTTTGTATCAACCAATTAATTGTTGGCAATTCTATTAAATATTATTTTATAGGTTACCTTTAGAAATGATCACGATGAGGAATGCAAAATACTGCTCAAAGATAAGTTGGAAATTTTTGGCGAACGCAAACGTCGAATTATTCGAAGAGACTTTCGTCTGCCACCAAATTGGATTGCACAGGCTGATAATGTTGTTCGTTGTGTATTGAAAGTGAACGACAATGAATATACAACAGTATTAGAGCAGTTTAATGAAACGATGTCTGGAAAATATACACAAATTCAAATTGAGCGGATCCAAAATCAAAGATGGTATATGGCATATAAGGCTTACAAGCATTTTTTTAAACACAAAAATACTGAACAATCACTTTTTCATGGTTGTCCAGAATCATCAGCGGACATGATCATTCATAGTTGTTTCAATCGGTCCTTTGCTGGTGTGAATGGTATGTGAAAGCAGTTTTTGAGTTGATTAATCTAGATTAGTTGATTTTTAGGCGTCGCATTTGGTGTTGGGGTGTATTTTTCCACGCAAGCCTCTTACAGTGATAGTTACACTCGTGCAAGCCCAAACACTAATGGACGATGTATGTTTTTAGCAAAAGTTCTCGTGGGCAGGTCGACGCTTGGCAATAGTCATATGAAGACTGCACCTACTGGCTACGATTCAACAACGGATAATAAGATGATATATGTGACTTATCACGATGATCAAGCTTATGCCGCGTATCTTATCTCATACGTGAGGGTCAATAATTAAATTGGAGTTTTATTTTATGGTGAAATGAATGCATATAGGCGTATTTATCTGGCTATCAATTATAAATTAGACCAGTGAAATCAAAGAAGTAATTTGAGTGAAGCTATTTTTTTTTCAATTTTTATTCATAATTATTAAATAATCAAGATAAAATAAAGAATTCGCAAATCAAGTATTCATAACCAATTGTATGAAATAATAGAAAATGTAAATCATTCAAAGTCACTGACTATGCCACCGTCTAAACAACATAAATAATTTCTTTTTTTATTTTATTTCGTTTGAACTTTTAGTTAGATGCGGATTCTTAAGTACTAATGGCTATAACCAATTTTCCTTTTATGATTATGTCTCATATCCACTTAGATGAAATACTTTTTTTTTGTTTATTTCTATGATTATATAGAAGGAATGGTTATTAATACGGATCTACAGCACTCTGAAATATTACACAGCCACACATCTAATTATGACATAGTCACGTTTTTGTTAATTATGTGAATGAATACCTACAAGTATAGGATAAGCTTTTGAGTACAATGTAACTTAACTATATTTCCCTGCAGCGTACCAATCATTAATGACGAATAGTGAGTCTTCATTTATTTTACGCATACTTATTAAATTAGTTTTATTCATACGAGCCACTGTATCTGTGAGATAATATGTTATGAGAATATTTCTATAGTGGAATTTAACGTGATCCGTATACAATTGAAATATAGAATACGATAGAACTACTTTCAATCTTTTCAGAGACAAAATCATCAAGGGAGAAGGCTATTTTGCCCACATTTCAAAAAAAAATATCAATGATACCCTCCAGGCCTTGTTGTCTGTTGAAATTCTAGTATTAACGTGTACTGATGACGCATGAGCATGTTACTTGGGGTTTAGTTCGTATAATACTTCTGCTGTGGAGCAAATTGCATTATAAAAATGCGCTGAAAATGATATATTTCAGGCCTATCGTAATTCTACACACTGCACAATTAAGAAGTTGTCAAGGATAACCTTGGCGTATTCTTGAAGTGCGCTTAAACCCGTAGAACGTAACAAGACAGAAAACAGTATGCCAGAGAGTCAATTAAACCATCAAAAATACGTAAAAACGTCTGTCCTCATTTCAATAGAATATCTACATAACTATGGTTATGCATATTTCGAGTACGCTAAGAAAGAAGGAACCGATTTTTTCGGCATTTAACGCACATCCTCTCTTAATTACTGCAGTAATTCAGATATAATTAGGATATGGATAATCTATAGCTTTCTGTCAATCGTTAAAGATGAGCAGAGAGAAAAAGTACTAATGCAGTTTCATTGACCTGATTCGATTGCAGAGCAGACATTTATTTTTACGATATATCTGATAGTCCATAAGTCAGGTAATCGAGAAACAATCTGATATCTCTGTTACGACTCGAACAAAGGGGCGAATTCTTTTTTTTTACCAAGGATAGAAACATGATGACACTTCAAATTCGTACATACAAAGCTGGTGAGAATCTTTGTTAGGTACCACTATTGACTTCAACAATAAAGTTTCTCTTTTTCACAGTTAGGAAAAAAACAATATAAAGGATGATGCAAAAGTCACTTAATCGAGAAAAAATTTGAATATCTCCATTACGGTTCGAGCAAACGAGCTGGTTTTTTTTACCGATAATAGCGCCATATTTAAGCTTTATATCCTTTGTTAAGTATATTGTTTGTTTTTCTATCTGTTAAAAAGTGAAATTTTCTTGTTGAGTTCAATAGTGGTACTTAATACAGGATCTCACTAACCTTGTCCGTGTGAATTTAGAATGTGAGTATGCCACCTTCCTTGGCAAAAAAGTTAGCTTCTTTGTTCGAGTCATAACAGAGATATCTGATTGTTTCTCGGTTACCTGACTTGTATCAAAATAAAGTATTGAAAATAAATTTAGTAAATCAAAATAATTTTTCATTGTTTCAAATGTCAACATGCATGGACTATGAATATTATTTGTGAAACAACTTTTTTACAACAGCAAAAAATTAATAAAAACTACGAGTTTTGTTACATTTAATCGTCATTTTACGATGTTCCGATACATTCTATTATCATTTTCATGTAAAAATAGTAATTACATGGAGATTTTTCGTTATATTAGAAAATTAATAATAAAAATCTGGCGTGAGATAATTACAAGATGAGAGTAAGTTGTGACAATACGATTATATATATGTGAATAATATTCAAGTGCAGTGTAGATAGAGAAAATTATGATAGATAGATAATAATAGTGCAATTTGCATTGATGAAATTAAAAGATCGATGGGAATTGTAAGTATAATTAGGAATTTACATGTCAGACCGATGGATAAAAAGTTAGGAATTGCACGTTAGCAATAATATGTAAATAAAATGTATGAACAAGAAAATTATATTTTATAAACTAGAAACATGTACTAACCAAAATCAATCTGACAATCAGCAGATTGATAATAAAGAAACATCTCTAGATAGGTCAATAATAAATATTCTCTTCGTGGAAATAGCTACACAACAATTTTCTAAAGAGATCAGAAAGCTAGATAATAACCTAAAGTCAACAATACAGCTAACAGAAATTCCAAAACCACCACTAGATTTTTGTACTTATCCACGCCAGATTTTCATTATTAATTTTTTTGGACAAAATAGAAAACTTTGAATCACCTTTTATAGTCAGATGCTTGCTACTATCTGGCACGATAGAGTTTGTAAAACTCGACTCATCGCTAAAGTTAAATCATGAATTGGATTATTTATTTGAGTCGATACATTTGTGACATACTTCTGAATGTTGAGTTCAGATATGTACTGCTTTAGTTCGATTTTTTTAATCCTTGAAATGTTAATATTTTTAATTAATCATATTGAGATGACTTTATACCTTTGGAAGTTGTAAAAGTCTATAATTTAAAAGCTTTGCTCATTTTCACTCTATTCATAACAATTATTCTCTCTCGCTCTCTCTCTTCAAAGAATACAGAAGATTGACGAATTTGAAACTCAATACACTGTTGGTATGATGAATAGAACATAGTAAGCTTAAATAGAAGATATACGCGTTGTGAGTTTTTCTCATGCACTGAATTTCAATGGAGGAATCTTGTTTTCTGATGACTTATTTTCTATTCGATTGTATAATATAGACGTAATTAAACATGAAGAACAAAACTAGAGCAAACATAGCCGTATCTTTATACATTCGTTAATTCGTTTCTACTAAGTGTCGAGCTGTATGAAGACAAGGATTATATATATATAAATATGCAAACTCAAATTTGGTTTTGAAATACTCGCACCGTTACACATTTTAAAGCACAAGAATAGCGAGAAATATCGTTGTTCTTTTCTAATTAAATCATCTAATGAGAATTTTTCATTACGATGACATTTCTTTCATTAATATGCAGAGTAAATAATACAGTGCCAAAAAGCAGATTTACGAACACATAATATGTTGATGTGAAATTTCACTTACTTTGTGAAAAAGCTTAGAGTAACTCACTACTTATAATTGGAATTCTGTTTAGTTTAGACAGATGTAGAGTAACTCTGGTATATATTTCTATCACACACGAAATTCATTTTCCAAGCTAATTTTTTAAAATTATACCTATATCCTGTTGTTGAATAAGAAGCCTCTTCATTGAATAGCGGAAAATGTAATATTTGTTTATTTGTGTTTAATAGTATGTACGAACAAAATTTTATTATCTATGTAGTAAAAGTCGTTGTTACACATATCTAAATATGAACAAAATAAAGCGAGATAAATGTTTTATTAACTTGATACAACGAGATAAGTGCGAGGTAGGTCTCTGTAGTTGATTGTCAATTAAATGTAGGCGTGTAATAAAAGAAAATTATTACATAGCTTAATATCATCTAAGCGACAACGAGATCAGAATAATTTTAATCTTACTTCGGATACATACAAAATATTGTAACACTTGAATAAACTTGAGTATGGTAGAAAATAAATAAATAAAATCGTGTAGAGAATAGTTTTGCCTCCAAAATTTTGATTGAATGGTAGACTTTATTTCTAGCCTAATAGATCATTTTATCGACGTAATGATGATATTCACTAATTATTCTTTTTCTAATTCGATTCGATTTTAGTTATTCCTAACTGCTCGTATTCCATCTATTATCTGTTCTGTCTGAGTTCTTTATCATTTACTTTCAAAACAACTACGGCGTCGTGCAATCAACAATCATTTCATCATTCTTGTTTTGTGCAATAATTTAAGCAATGACCTTATAGATATTTCATTATTTTTGAACTTTTATCGCTCAGCAACTGTGTGGCCAGCTACACCAAGCTTATGTCTAATGTGGGGATTCAACGATATTGTTTGCTTGAGCAACAATTGAAAGACATATTATTATTTTTTATTTTTTATAGTCAATGGTTATCGACCGCTAGAAAGCGTTTTCTTGTTCATTATATTCCTATGATGCTATGTACATTCTATTTTATTATATTTCATTCTATTGTCATCCTGGGGGGGGGGGGGGGGGGGGGGGGGGGGGGGGGGGGGGGGGGGGGGGGGGGGGGGGGGGGGGGGGGGGGGGGGG